CTGGTTGTGGTGGTGGTGGGGGTGGTGGTTGATTTAACTGGGCTGGGGTTTTTTTTTTTTTTTTTTTTTTTGATGGTGGTGGTGGTGGTGGTGGTGGTGGTGGTGGTGGTGGTGGTGGTGGTGGTGGTGGTGGTGGTGCGGCGCGGTGGTGGCGGGCGGATGGGCGCGCGAGAAAGAGGCCCGCGCTGGGGCGAGAACGCCATCCTGAACGACGGAGGCCAAACACCGATCCGAAAATGAGGCCCACGCTGCAGCGGGAGCACGATTCGGAACGATTCGGGAGCAGAAATGAGGCCGGCGCCTCAACGAGAGCAGCATTTTGAGAAAAAATGACGCCGGCGCCTCAGCGAGAGTCGTTTCCCGGGATTTCCCGGGGATCCTGTGTGTAAAAAACAGTACGCGGAGGGTGCGCGGCCATCACCCGGACGCCATCAGGGGAAGAGGGAGAGTATTTTCATATTGAGTAATTGTTGAGGAGGAGGAGGAGGAGGAGGAGGAGGAGGAGGAGGGGAGGAGGAGGCGGCCAGGGCGGCCAGGAGGAGGAGGGGGAGACGGGCCCCACGGTTTTCCACCGTCGGGCTCTCGGGGCCCTCCGCGGGCCCTTGGATGCCCGGGAACGCCCCGGGAGGAGGAGCTCGCCTGGGGGGGAGGCCCCCGGGTCCAGGACCCCTGTTCCCTCTCGGGAGCCTTGAGACGGGGGTCAATGCAAACGGGGGTCAGCCAGGGCGCCAGATCCTGCAGGATCCTGCGAAGACCCCCTCTGGCTGACCCGGGTTAGCGAGCCGCTCGTGGCCGCGAGGCGGCCGCGCGTGTTGGCTGACCTGGGTTTGCGAGGATCTGCGTTGCAGTTTTTTGTTCCTGCATTGCAGTTTTTGGTTTCCTGCTGACCCGGGTCTGGATTGACCCGGGTCAGAAGATCCCCGACCCTCAGGACCCGCTTCCTCAAGGCAAAGGCGCCTTTCAATCCTTCCGATTCGATTCGGTTCGATGTCGATGGCTCGCGGTTCCGATCCGATTCGGCTTCGGATTCCGCTTCGGGTTCCGGAACTCACTTAGAGGCCCACCAGCTTGCCGATGTCTGCCGATTCGACATCTCCGAGTTGGTTGCTGATTTCTCGCCCATCCGATTCATGTCGATCGCCGATCCGACTTGTCGATTCGATTATGGGTTCGCTTGCCAGGGCGGGGCTTGGAGGAGAGGAGGGGTAAGTTGTCTGGTCCTTCTCCCTTCCCTCCCCTCCTCCATCCCCTCCTCCCTCCCCTTGTCGCCCTCCTCCCCCTCCTCCTCCCCCGTCGCCCCCTTCCCCGCTCCCCTGAGCCGTCTCTTGACGGCCCCGGGGCACGGCTGAGGGCCCTCAGGAGGCCGAGAACGGCGGGAAGTGTTTCCCGCCATGATTCGTCATTACGCATGGCGCCGCCAACATCGCAGAGCGGACTTCGTTCGGAAAACTGTGGGATGGGCACGGATTGTAGGAGAGAATGTCGCTCTGGGTTTCGAAGTGAATGTCGTGCGGATGTTTTGCTGGCTTGGAATGAAGACTGAGAACATCCACGTGAAATTCACCTCGTTTTTCGCTCGCCGTTTCGGGTTTTGCACCGGCAGGAATCCACGCAAGAATCCGCTGCAGCACGTCTGCAAGGTCGGTGCAGTGACACTACGCGAGGAGGTCAGGCTGCGGGCACAATCAGGGCGCTGAAAGAGGGACCCCTGTTCAGTATCGTTCGACCGATCCCCATCCCCATCACGATCCCCCCCATCCCACCTCCCCAGTTGGGGATATGCCCCTCGAAACCCGAAGGAAGCAGCCTACATCCCCATCTAGGGGAGTGAATCGGCCAGTGGGGCGCGGGCCACGCCGGTGGGGATAGGGGAGGAGGGAGGAGGGAGGAGGGAGGAGGGAGGAGAGGAGGAGGAGGAGGAGGGAGGGAGGGAGGAGGGGAGGAGGGAGGGAGGGAGGAGGGAGGCGGGAGGAGGGATAGGGGGAGGGAGGGAGGAGGGAGGAGGGAGAAGGGAGGAGGGAGGAGGGAGGAGGGAGGAGGGAGGAGGAGAGGAGGAGGGAGGGTAAACGATGCTCACCTTTGGGCTCGGGAGCGGCTCGGGTGTCGGGCCGGTCCTCAGATCCGAGTCCGGGAGCCTCTCCGGGGCCGAGGCCCGCCGTGGCCTGAACAGCTCCTTCGTTCCCGATCTGGCGTTCTTCATGGTAGGAGGAGGAGGAGGAGGAGGAGGAGGAGGAGGAGGAGGAGGAGGAGGAGGAGGAGGAGGAGGAGGAGAAGAGGAGGAGGAGGAGGAGGAGGAGGAGGAGGAGGAGGAGCGAGAAGGAGGAGGAGCGAGGAGGAGCAGCAGCAGCAGCAGCATTACTGTAATGGGGGCCAGGACGAGGGGACGAGGTGTTCGGGCGTTCTCGTCGGTGCTCGGTTTGCCAGGGGCAGCGAGGATCGTCGAGGTCCGTTCGCTGGACGTTTTCGATCGTGCCGAGGCGCCCTCGTGGCCCCGGCTGGATCCGCCTCGAAAGTCTGCTCACAGTGCACCCTGTGTGGGGTCCAGGAGTCGATCCCGGACCCCTGGTCAGAAGCAGCGTTAAGGGGGGGGGGTCGCCTTAAGGGGGGTGGAGGAGGGGGGGGAGGAGGAGGGGAAGCTCGGCGGCTTTCCAGCCTCGGGATGCTCTGGAGCAGCTGCGCTGGGCCGAGAGGTCCTCCAAGAGGAGTGCCCGGGTCGTCCCCAGCGGCTGCCGGGGGCCCGGGGTACGACCCGAAGACTGGGGGGCAACGTGAGGGGGGAGGGGGGATAGCTAGGCTCGTGGCCCCATCTTTGGACCGCCGAGGCTTGATGCCCCGCAGGGCGATGGAGAAGAAGAGGGCAAGGAGGGAATAGGGGGGGAGGTGGAGATGAGGAGGGAGGGCAGGGAGGGCCCTCATCCTCGCCGCGGTCCTGGCCATGATCAGCGTGTGTGTTTTGGAGCACCTCGGGTCGGGCAAAGGGGGGCGGGGGGGGAAAGGAGAAAAGGGAGTTCGGACATGTTCCGGATCGGGCGAGAGGGAAGGGCGGGGGACGGGAGGGGGGGCCGGGAGCCGTCTCGGATCGGACGAAGGGGGGGTGGGGGGGGGGCGAAAGGGAAAATGTGGCATCGCTCGGACGTGTGCGTTTTTCCTCGGCAGGCGGGCGATGGCGAGAAGAAGGGGGGCACGACAGTTGCTGCGTGCAGCTGGTTTCGGCCCCGCCGCCGGTCGCATTCCTCGGTACGTTGGCGTGTCCGGCTCCGGGAAGCGCCGAGAGTATCAGCTACGTGATCCGATTCGCAAACCCCTCTTTACGGACCTTCCCTTTTCCTCCAACCTGATTGTCGGCTTCTTCCGACCCGATTGTCGGTAGTTCTCGGGAGTGTTCGGCCAGTCCTTGGAGGTCTCGTATTGCCCCGCCAGAGAGGGAGGAGTTCTCAAGAGTTTTCGCTCGGTCCTTGCTCTGTCCCCGCCAGGGGGAATCAGCGGGCGAAGAACAGTATAACATGAACTTTTCCACCGTCGTGGACGCCTGCCCCCCGGGCGGCCGAAAGTTCATACCCCTACAGTGCCACGTAGAAGTATAAATTTTCAGCCGCCCGGGGGGCAGGCGTCCACGACGGTGGAAAAGTTCATGTTATATTGTTCTTCGCCCCCTGAGGGAAGGAAGTTTCGGAGTTGTTCAGAGGGCCCTCTGGGAGGAGCCGCCAAGCGGAAGTTTTTCGTGAGGCTTCGGACGACGGAATGGGCATGTGCCGTTCTCGATTCTGGGGCGATATACAGGCTGGCGTAGCAAAATCATTTTCGCCGCCTGTCCGCCCGACCGACGAGGGGAAACAAACTAAGAGAGAGAGGGAGGTGGTCGTTCTCGTATGCATTGTTTTGCCGACCGGCGCGGGCTCTCGCACCTCCCCCCTCCCCCATGGAGTAGATCTTGACTGTTTTTTGCGCCTGTTTCGAGCATGTGGAGTCTCCCCCATAGGACGCACTGTTGCAAACAGTCGCAGTAACAGACCCCCCACCCCCCTCTCCCCTTCCGCCCAATGTTGACATGCCGAATAAAGAAACGCTCACGAGGGACGGGGCAGCCTTAGGCCAGGAGGGGGGCGTGGCGGAGGCGGGGGGGGGGTGGACGGAGGAGGTTGGCTGCTTGGTTGCGGGCACAGGATTCGCTCTGGTCGCCCCGCCATGGGGGCACCCCGCCCCTGGGCCCTGGGGGTCCCGCCAGGGGCAACGCTAGGGGGGGGTCGGACGACGAGTAATGGGGGGGGCGACGAATGGGGGGCGCAGCGAGGGCTGCAGGAAGGAGCATTTTAGGACCCCCACAGGGGCCCATTAGGGCCCAAGAGTAGGCTTGTTTTTTGCGTATGCGCGCCGCCCAAGAGGGGGCCTTTGGGCCCCGAAAACGGCACCTTTTTCCCCCGCCCCCCGTTCATTCGGGCCCAAGGGTCAGGCGATCGCAAACATAGATTACGGGGGCGTGGATTAGCGACGGGTCCCGTTGGGAAATCGCGGATTTCCGCCGCCGAACGAGGCGGCACTGGCCGCATTTTGGGGGGGAGGGCACCTCGCCTGATCCATGGGTTTGGCGACCGCGCGCTCAATCCATGGATCGCGAATCCATACTTGCGCGCCCCCGACTAAGGAGGGTGGATCTTCCGCCCTCTGAGGAAGGGGAACAAGCTGATCCTCTCGGCCAACAGAGCGCGCTCCAAGAAGGGGAGGCGGAGGGAGTCCGCGAGGCAGGGAGGCCGCGAGGAGGGAGGCGGTGCCACCCTCCCATGGCCATGGCCTTGGAGGAGGAGGAGGAGGAGGAGGAGGAGGAGGAGGAGGAAGATAAGGAAGATAAGGAGGAGGAGGAGGAGGAGGAGGAGGAGGAGGAGGAGGAGGGAGGAGGAGGGAGGAGGAAGAGGAGGAGGGAGGAGGAGGAGGAGGAGGAGGAGGAGGGAGGAGGAGGAGGGTGAGGCGGAGGAGGGAGGCGGTGCCACCGCGCAGAGCCGCAGGTGTTTTCGCCCATGGCCTACCTGGCAGGAGAGGCCCTCACCCGGGGCCTGAGCATCCGCAGCAGGCGAGCCCTCCCCCTCCGAAAGCATTCCTCCCCCAACCACTCCTCCCCCCCCCCCTCCACCCCCTCCTCTTCCCTCCCCCCTCCTCCCCCCCCCTCTTCCGCACGACCCCTCCTGCTCTCCGACTGCTCCCGCCATCCCTCCTGCCCCTCCTCGCGCTCCCTGCTCCCTCTTCAACTCGTCCCCCGCTCCCTCCTCATGCCTCGCACTCCCCCTCCACCACAACTCCCCGCCTCGAGGTTCAATGCTCGTGCGCCCACCATCCCCCAGTAAGAAGCGGGTGCATCAGGGTGGCCAAAGTGCGCGCCGACGATTACCTAGCTGATGTGCTAACCAAGCAAGCAGCGACGGCGTGAATGCGCGCATGAGTGGATCGGGGTAGTATCCTGAGAAAGGGAGGCACGAGTTAGCTCCTCCTCAGCCGCTTCCTCCGCCCAAGTTCAGGCGGCCAGTTGCGCCCCGACCGAGGGATGGGGGCGGCGCCTTCCCACCACGCCCCCCCGTCAAGGCTCGAGGGCTCTAAGTATCGGTGCCGCGAAGGCCAGCAGTCGTACGCCCGCCATCCCCCATCTTCTTCCTCGGCCCCTCCCTCCCGTCAGCGGCCCGCGCGCCCGACAAGAGGGGACCGGCCGCCCTCCTCCTCCTCCTCCTCCTCCTCCTCCTCCTCCTCCTCCTCCTCCTCCTCCTCCTCCTCCTCCTCCTCCTCCTCCCCACCCCTCCCCCCCGCGAGGTTCAAGGCCCGAGGTGCTTGGCATCGCTCGGGCGTGTGCATCGTTTCTCGGCGAGGACCCTCGAGGAGCATGTCTGTTTCCCTTGCGAACAAAGATTCACGCACGAAGCCGAGAGATGCACAGGGAAGGGGGACGTCCGAGCGATGGCGAGAGGTGGTGCCACAAGGTCAACAGTCGTACCCCCACCATCCCCCCTCCTCGGCTGCGTCCTCCCCCAGTTCAAGCGGCCAGTTGCGCCCGACAGAGGGAAAAGGGGCGGCGCCTTCCTCCCTCTGCCCCACCTCTCCCCTGACCTCTTCTTCGGTGGCGAGCCCAGGGGAAGTCAGAGGGGGCGGGCCTTCTCGGAAGAAGGCTCAGAAGGCCCCCAGCCTCCTGAGAAGTGCTGTGGGCCTTCTCCCAAGACAGAGACGGCGCTTCAGAAGGCCGAAGGGGCTTCTCAGAAGCCCCGCCGCCTTCTGGGAAGGCCCGCCCCCTCTGCCTTCCCTCCCGGACGCGCCGCCGATCTCTGGCCCTCCGTGGTCCCTCAAGGGTCTCCGAGCTCCTGGGCGGGGACGCCCTGCTCGGCCGGTCACGGGAGCGCGGGGGAGCCGACGGGGAAGTTGAGCGTGTTGCTTGCCGGACCAGGAGCCGCTGGTTGGGCCCCGGTGGCGTGTCCTGGGCGTCGCTCTCAGGCGAGCGCAGCTCATACGCAGCTCATTGTTCGACCCTCGCTCCTCGGCGCTTGGGGGGAAATCAGCGTCGACGGCGCAGTCAGCCGCGTAGGAGCGCATGAGCATCTATAGGTTCGCGTGCGGGCATCATTACCGGAGTCGCTCCAGAGCGAGCTATCGCTGGAGGGAACGTTTCGGCGGTCGATAATCGCGTTGCGGACTGAGCCATCAAGCAGGTCCTATCGCGCGCGGTGGCCGCATGTGCCCCACAATTAGGGACATCGTTAGAAAATTATGCAGTGTCACGCACCCCTCTGAACACGAGATTCTTGGCAAGTCCACGCGAAGCCATGGAGATCACGAGATCATCATTAGCACTTGCCAAATCGAAGGCTCGAGTGCCGTCCTATTGCTCAGATGTCGATTGGTGCTATCGGTCCACTTTTCAAACGGAGTTCTTGCGAACTCAACACGTTGACGGACCACGCGGGAAGCGCCCCCTCGTTTGTCCACAAGTTTGGATCCACCACCCGGCCAACGTGAAAGACGACAGCACCAGCGCATATTTGGGACATGGTGTATGGAGGGAGCGATGTATCGGCCGCTGGTACCTTGACGTTATCTTCATTCGGCAGGCGGTATCGTATCGTTCGAAAAGAGAGCAGAGATGATAGGTTCCTGCCAAAGGGGCTGCCTGGAATCTGCGAAGATTTTGGAAAGTTTATTCCCTGGAGGAAGGATTCCACGAGCTCCGATCCTCCTCATCCGATCCTCCTCTTCCTCCCCTCCTCCTCGAGTACGACGACGGCGGCGGCGACGACGACTACCACGACGACGGATGCTGATGCGGGTGGCGATTTCGCTGGCGGCGGCGACCCCAGCGGTGCCGGCCCTGTCGGCGGCGGCGGCGGCGGCCACGGTTTAGAGGAGTTAGAAGTCATGATGGTGGGCGTTCCAGGGTTTCCTGGATTTCTTGCCGCTCCTCAGGGGGTGCACGGAGGAGGCTGGCTGGTTGGGTTAGGCTGGTGCCGGCGGCCTTGCGGGCAAAGGATCCGCTCTGGTCGCCCCGACGGGGGGGCGCCCCGTCCCTGGGGGCCCTGTCAGGGGCAACGTTAGGGGGGGTCGGAGGACGAGCAATGAGGGGGCGACGAATGGCGGGGCAACGAGGGCTGCAGAAAGGGGCCCCTCAGTCAAGAAAGAAACACGCCATAAACATAAATGTTTGGCGCTGCGCGCGGATTTTTGGGATCCGCGCTGGGCCCCCCGGCGGCGCCTCCGGCGCCGCCCATGGCGCGCTCCGCGCGCCAGGGAGGGGGGTGCAGCGCAGATCCAAGAAATCCGCGCGGAGCGCCACAAGTTTATGCTCATGGCGCTGTTTCTTCTCCCAGGGCCCCCCAAAGCGGCCCTTTAGGGCCCAAGAGGGGGCATTTAGGGCCTGAAAATCTAGGCCCCATAGATGGGGTCGAGGCAGATGGGGTCGGAGGATCGCGCCACATCGCCGATGCATCGCCGATCCGTCTGGATGTGGAGTCCGATTTTCTCCACGCCGACGGCGCCGATGCATCGCCGACGCATCGTCGACGCATCGTCGATGCATCGCCGATGCATCGGCGAGGAGGTTTCGCCATCGGGGGCCCGCCGCCGACTCATCGGCGATACACCGCGGGTTCGAGCTCGAGGCTTCCCCCCCGCCGAGCGGGTCCTCCCTTCCTGACGTTAAGTCGGGCACGGAGCGTAAGACCTGGGTTTGCCAGGACTCGGGTTCGCCATCGTTTTTTGACGACCGCGCCTCGGATTTTGACGAGGAGGAGTTTCGTGGGATGTCTGCAGCGGGAGGCCTCGTCAAAATGCAGGCTCGGCCTCGTCATTTTTGTTGACGATCTCGTCGGGGATTTCCGAGTCCCCTGTACCCAGGTCTTACGTTCCCCTGATACAGGAAGAATGTTCAAAAAGAGTTCTTTCAAAGGGCACGATGATTGCATGATCTTCTGGCTATGTTTGGACATTTTAGGAGGTACTTCTTAGTGTCGTCCAAAATCCTCCTGTAGGGGGACATGCCCGACCTAACCCTGACGTTGCCCCTCGGGATGGCGAGGGCCGCTGGGTGGCCCGGAGCTCCAGGAGCCGCACACTACTGATCGGGCGCTGCGCAGTTCTACGTTGGTGTCGTTGAAAGTAGGTGTTTCTTGATCTCCAGATCCCAATCTACTTCAAGCGCTTTCCTATATCAAGAATCGATGTGTTATTGCTGCGTTTTGCTATTCTGATCGGGCGTTGCGCTGTTATGCAGGATGATGATGAAGAAATCATTGGGGGTCGTGTTCACGCGGCGGCGCCTGGGATGATGATCAGAAAAGCGGGCCCAGCGCTGGGAAACTATTTGTTCGTTTGATCGGTTCCCCCCCCCCGCCCTCCTCGGGCGCGCGATTGGACGGTCGACGGGCCAGACGGAGCCGAAGCGAAGCAGAAGCAGAAGATTTCGAAAGTGTTTTGTTAATCTTTCTTCTCACATGAATTCTCCACCGTAATCTTGCATTAGTGGAGAGCGATCAATTGGGGGGTGAAGAAAGGTGCACCGAACCTTTCGCACACCTTGGGGGGCCATGAAGGATCATGAGGGGGTCTCCTGGGGCCCAAAGGGCACACGAGAGGTGCACGTTTCGTTCCGTCCCCTTGCTTGCAGTCGCGACGCGGACCCACGGACCACTGGAGGGACTCTGTTTTCCGTGCCGCTCCTTCGAGTCAGGTCGTGTGGCTTGTTCGTCGGCGTGGCTCGCAGTGGCCAGGAAAGCCCCTTCTTTGGCGCGCGATGACCCGTAAAGCAGCGCCCGTCCTGAGCCCACCGCACCGCGGCATCGTCCTCGCACCGACGGTGACGGCGTCGGCGGCCGCGGACCGTGCGCGGCGTCGGCGGCGGGTGCCACCCCACCCTTGAGCCGTTCCCCCACTGGAGGAGGAGGAGGAGGAGGAGGAGGAGGAGGAGGAGGAGGAGGAGGAAAGGGAGGAGGAAAAGGAGGGGGACGAAGACGAGGAGGAGGAGGATGAGGAGGAGGAGGAGGGAAGGCGAGGGCCGCTGGACGATCTGGAACTCGTGGAGCGCCTGACCTTGGGGCGTCGCGTAATGGAGGGGCGATGAGTCGGGGGGCAGCGAGGGCTGCAGGAAAGGGGCCCTCCAGGGCCCCGGATGCGGGGGCCCTTTAGAGTCCCAGGGGGGGCCTTTTAGAGTCCCAAAGGGGCCCTTTAGAGTCCCAAAGGGCCCCTGATAGGGGGCCCTTTAGAGTCCCCAAAGGGGGCCTGCAAGGCCCGAAAAGTACACCTTCTCGCCCCACCCATTACACGTTGAGAGTAGGTATTTCTTGCGATTCCAGTCTACGTTAGGCGCCTTCCGACTTCAAGGATCGACCCGTTGTCCTTCTTCCCTCCTCCAGGGGGCGGGCGGAGATTCAGCCTACCTTACACGCCTTCCTAACTCATGGTTCTACCTACTTCTTCCGACCGACGGGTCGGCGACGCCCAAGACCTGAGCCGATCGCATCGCGGTACCGTTCTTCAGGCGATCGCAAACATGCGCATTTTGGGGAGGGCACCTCCCCCGATCCATGGATCTGGCGACCGCGCGCCAAATCCATGGATCGGTACTCCATGTTTGCGCGCCCCCGATGCTAGCGGGTATCTGCCGGTCGATGAGTGCGACGTCGAAGATGCAATGCCATCGACCGACGATTCGCACTGCGCGTTGCATGTGCCACGGGCGCCACAGTGGATCGAGTATCGTGTCAGCGGCCCCTATCCCCATCCCCATCCCCATCCAGACCCCCACCATCTCGGCACAAAGTTGGGGATACACCCCCGACCGACGGGTCGGCGACGCCCAAGACCTGGGCTGATCGCCTCGCGGCACCGCTCGCGAGCCCGACGGTGGCGGCGCAGCGGCGGCCGCGGGCCGCGCGGAGGTCGGAGCTCGCCGCCGCGGAGGGCGGCGGCGCGGGCGAGGCGGGGCGGCCGGCGGAGGCCGCGCGAGGGGAGGCCGAGGAGGGCCGGGAGAGGGGGCCACTCGACGGGGGGGAAGCAGGTTTCTTTCGAGCGTCAGGCGATCGCAAGCATGTCGCGGTATGGCCAGGACCCCAGGTGAGGGGACCCGGTGAGTGGTGGGTCCCTGGAGCCCCCGAGTTGGCCAGAATCACGTGTTTTTTCCGGTGACGGCAGTTCTGGTTAGTGGAACAGGGCGGGGGGGCGTCCCCCAGCGCACGTCACTAAACCAGGTCCTGTTAAACCCAGTCTCACCAACGCCAAAACATGGATCAAGCGGGCATGGATTAGTGACGGGTCCTTTTTCCATGGGAAAGCGCGGCTTTCCGCCACTGGCCGCATTCTGGGGAGGGCACCTCCCCCGATCCATGGATTTGGCGACCGCGCGCCAAAATCCATGGATCGTTAATCCATGTTGGCGCGCCCCCGAGAGTACCCGAGAGTAGGGGGTCGACTGCAGACTTCACGGCGCCAACTTCGGAGAGCGGATCTCGTACGGAAAGCTATGGGACGGGCCCGGACTGTCCTGGAGGATTTCGTTCTGGATTCCGATGTGGATTTCGTGCGGCTTTTCCTTGGCCAGGAATGAAGACTACAAAAAATACGTGAAGTTCATTGCATTTTTCGCTCGAGTTTTCTGGGTTTCGCATTGAGAAAAATCCACGCGAAAATCCGACGCAGCACTTCTGCAAGGTCGGTGCAGTAACAAAATCAATGTACCCCAAATGTTGATATCGTGCGTCGAATATGGGGGGGAAAATGCGCAGAATGGTCCGTAGATCTACGGAGTACATTCAGTTCATGGTGAGTAGATGCGGCAAGAACAATAATGTTGAGGTAAATCGATTGCTGACGCTTCGCGTGTCCCCACAAGCCCATCCAGAAACGATGCCCAGGGGAGTTGAGGTGATCAGGGAAGTGGGGGAGCATGCAGAAGAACAAAGGGCGGGGGAAGCCGTCATATACCCCAAGAGCGGAGGATAGAGGAGGAATCGTCGTCGTCGGAGGAGGAGGAAGAAGAAGAAGAGGAAGAGGAGGTGGAGTAGGGCGAGGACGAGGAGGACGAGAAGGAGCAAAAGGAGCGAGAGGTTGGTACCTCGGGGACCCTCTTGAGGCCTCGTATGGGGCCTCTTGGAGGCCTCTTGGGCGCCTCTTCGCCCGTGTCTGGGCGCCTCTTGGGGCGCTCTTGGGAGCTTTAGGGGCACTCTTGGGGCCATCTTCGAGGACATCGATCAAAAAAGGGGAGCTCCAATTAGCCTCCCCCAAAAATCGTTTCCTGGACCCCTCTTGGAACGCTCTTCGGGCACTCTTGGGCGCGCTTGAGGCCGTCTTGGGGCTCTCGTGGGCCTCTCTTGGGGCCCTCTTGGGCCATCTTGGAGCCATCTTGAGGCCTCGGATGGCCACCGGAACGAAAAGGCGAGACAGTAAGAATGATTGATTTTCCCATGGTTTTTGAAGGCTTTTGCCCCCTTGGGGAACTACTTGAGGTCTCGGAGGCCTCTGGGAGCCGTCTGGGAGCGTTCTTGGGGCTTATTCGAGCATCCTGAAAGCCATCTTGAGGCATCTTGCGCTATCTTGAGCCATCTTGGAGGTCATCTTGGGCTTTCCGAGGCGTTCGTGGAGCTGTCTTGGACCATCTTGGACGCTCCAACTACCCGCGACCACCCCCGTCCAGGTCCAGGGGGAGGGGGGAGGGGGGAGGGGTAAAACCCTCCCCGAAGAGGAAGAAGGGGGTTGGAAGAGGAGCCTCCCTAGACCACCTACGCCCAGAGGGCTGATGGGATTATGTAGTCAATCCCAGATTCAGGTCCTGAGGGAAACGGGTCCTGAGGTTCTCCGCCGTTTTCGGCCCTCCACGGGCCCTGGCACTGGCAGAAAACGATTTGTCCTGGGGGAAGGCACCAGGAGGGCGAGGATCTCGACTACACGTAAGAGTGACCTTTGGCCGGAGTGTGCGGGCTCACTGGGGTCCCCCGATCGCTGAGCGCGACGCGGCAGTGGCTGCCTGCGCGCTCGGATTTGGGCACCTTGCGCCCGCCTGACAGTCAACCGGCATAGTAAGCATGGACAACCTTCCCAAGGGCACCCCTGCATCCTTGCCTCCTCGGTCCATCCTTGACCACTTTCGTTGGCCGCGCCCCGCTCGAAAAGCTTCGAAATGGGCGTCCAAGGCCCTTGCATCCTTGTCGCTCATGCCCATGATACGGGCCGACTGTAAGCTGCGCGCTGAAGCTCACTCTTGCCTAGGGTCGCTCCTGCGTGTGGCCGAGGACCTGAGGCGGGCGTGGTTCGTAGCTTTCGGGCAGGTGGCAATAGGGGGTGGCCCAACTGGGGGGTGAAGAGAAGGGGTCCTACAGGGGCCCTTCAGTTGGAGGTTGATAGACCTCCTACCCTGACACGTCGATCAGCGAATTGGCCGTTTTCGGTTCGCGAGAGGGCGTCGCGGCCGTCATTTTTGCAGGTCCAGGTCCGTCGGTTTCGGTCCCAGGCCGTTTTCACGGAAGGATGGTTAACTAAAAGGAGGTTTGTCCACCGCCGATTCAGGGCCCCTTCTGGAGCCCGTTGGTGCCCACAAGGGGCCCGAAAGGGCCCCTTCAGGGCCTTGTTTTTCACCCCCCACTTTGGCCACCCCCCACTGGTGTTCGGGCGTTGTCGTGGGTCCTGGTCGGCCCTCCGGCTTTCCAGCCCCGGGGGGCCCCGCCAGCGGCTGCGCCTCGCCGCGAGGGCGCTCTGGGGATTCCCATGCTTTTCCCGAGCGGCCGCCCCGGAGCGCCGAGTTGCTGTGGCGCGGAAGCCGAGGGGGCAGGAGGCGCCGCTGCGGCCCCAAGAGATGCACACCACCACTACCTCCCCTCCCCTCTCCTAGGAACGGCGAGGGGAAGGGGAGGGCAGAGGAGGGGGAAGGGGGGGAGGTGGTGGTGGTGTGCACTCCTGGGGCCCGCAGCAGCGCCAGAGGAGGGCGAGCTGAGGCAGCGGCGGTGGGCCGTCGGGGGGGGGGGAAGGGGGGCGGGCCTCGCCGCCACGGCTGGACGCAGCTCGGAGGCCTGATGCGTTGGGGCCCCAGAAGGGGCTCGCGGGCCGCCGACTTCGTCGTCGTGGTCGTCGTCGTCGTGGTCGTCGTCGTCGTGGTCGTCGTCGTCGTGGTCGTGGCCGACGTCGTCGTGGTCGTGACCGTCGTCGTCGTGGCCGTCGTCGCCGTCGTCGTCGTGGCTGCCGTCGCCGTCGTCGTCGCCGTCGTCTCAGCTCGCCCTGCTCCGAGAGGCGGGCCCCGATCGCCGGCGCGCACCGGAGGGGGGCGGCGCGAGCGCGACGTCCCCCCGGGGGGAGGCGAGTGGGGGGGGGGGTGCGCGTCTTGGGCGGCGGGGGCCTGCTCGGAAGTCACCAGGGGCTGAGGCAGCTTCGCGGGGGGATCACACCTGAGCCGTATGACGAGCACGCGAATTGAGGCCAGCTGGCCTAGGGCAGCATCGGGGGCGGACAGAACCCCCCCCCCTGACACGTCGATTAGTGAATTGTCCGTTTTCGGTTCTCGAGAGGGCGCCGCGGCCGTCATTTTCCGCGCTTGCGCCCGGCAGGTTTGGGCCCGAGGTCGTTTTTGCTAAACCACGTTTTACTAAAGGGGGGTCTGTCCATCCCCAACAGCACCCTCGGTGGGGCCGCAGCGTGTGCTGTCTTCTGCGCCATTGGCAAAGAAACCCACCAAACGACCCCAACCGGACACCCGACGGCCCCAATAGGCCTTCCTTTCCCGTTGAGGGGGGGGCGTCGGGGAGCATGGAAGAAACACAAATGGAACTCGTACCACCCACCACCACCCCAGCCCGAAATGTGGGGTTTCTGGTTGGGTTGGGTTGGGGTGGTCTGGTAGGTACGCAGCCGGGAAGGGCCTGGAGCTGAGATGCTATTGGCCACCTTCATGTCCACCATCGATTGAACAATAGAGTTTCCTCTCGCTACATGACCTCGCTAGCCATGTAGAAGTTTACCTCGCTTGTTCCGGTGTGCAGAATGTGACCCATCGATGGCGTTTGTGTTGCATTATGCGGGGCTTGGGTGGCTTCTAGGCATACTTGCAACAGCCCCGATTGTGTTTTGGAAGTGCGTACAGCCTCGATTGTGATTTGGGGTTGCGTGAGGGGCCTCGCTTGTGTTTCAGGGGTGCGTGCAACAGCCTCGATACACTTCGGGGGCAGAGCGCGGGGCCTCGATCGTTTCTGATGGTTTGTTCGGAGCAGCGCGCAGGGCCTCGATGCTTTTGTGGGGGCGTACGCAACGGCGTCGAGGCACTTCGTTCATGTTGCGTAGGTTTTTTGGGCTTCGGGGTGAAAGGGGGCCCCCTGGAAAATGAAAGCGGGCGTGAACCAGTGAAACCTCTGCTATCCTCATCCTCCTCCTCATTATGTTCCTCCGTCTCCTTCTCCTCCTATTCCTCCTCCCCCTTTTCCTCCTCCTCCAGCCGCCGTCCCGGCTCGAGGGGCCTTGGGAGCAGTTACCAGGTAACTGCGAGCCCCTCACCTCCGGGACTGCTGCTAGACGCGCCCCGTGCAGCCCATCATAGTGTTGCCTCGTGGCCGTGCAGGCCCCGTGCGCCACGCAGGGCGTGCGTGTGAGCCCGCGTGGCACCGCAGGGCCACGGCGTGCCGTGCTGCCGCCCGTGTCATCCTCCGCCTTGCGGCGGCCAGAAGATTGCTACAACGACACCACAGTCGTCAGCCTCAAGAACCCGGTCGGCCAGGACCCATGGGAAAGTCAGCAGTGACGTGGTCCCCTCCAGGATCACCATGGGCGTGCTCCGTCTGTTTCTGTTCCAACTAGCACGAGCGGGTGGATTGCCGTCAGTGTGGTACGCCGAAGCCCGAGATGCCTCCATGGCGACGTCCATCCCGCCGCTCGGACAATGCACCTCCTGTTCGAGAAGCAGCCCGTGGCAAGGGCAAGGGGGGAAGGACAAGGCTATGCGTGCACTACGAAATGCTTCGCCA